TGTTACCTCAGTGGATGGACTCAACTTCTTAGTTTGTCTAACTCACTTCAACTTGAATCAATTTTGTTTATAACTATAATTTTGTAGAATCTTCTTCTATTCTTTAAGTGCTTTTTAGACAATTTTTCAATCTTAAGCTAATGAAATTATCAAAAGATTAGATATGAAAAGCATTTCTTAACCTCGAACGTCTTTTGAGGCCTCTTTTTAAATTTTGCTTTAGGCCACATGTAGTGTTGAGCCGCCTCTGTATCGTATTTGTTCAGTATTCTCATATTATTATTATTATTATTATTATTATTATTATTATTATTATTATTATTATTATTATTATTCTCTTATTTCTCACTCTTCAATTTTCATTATTACTTGTTGTTCCCCTTGCTTTGATTTTCTTACATACTATTTTGATATTTCGTTGTCGTTAATGTTTTTGTGTTCCATATTTTCAACTTCTTCATTATAATTTTTCTTTCTTGTTCAAATCTGCTGAGAAATGTTTTTCTTGAGTCGAGGGTCTATCGAAACAGCATAGAAGATCTGCTTAATTACACGTTACCCTCCATATACTTCATATTGTGGGAATACACTGAATATGTTATTTTTGTTATTGTAGTGCTGCACTTGTGATTCTCAGCATTATTTCCTTTTGTTGAAACAAGCTTGAGGGTATGGAGGCATGGCCCCTCCTCGTCAAGCAACAATAAATGTGTAAGTCAAAAATTGTTTTGTATTTTACGTTAGGTTCAGTCACAAAGCCCCACATTTATTGTTGGTATTTCCTGCCTCTTTCCTTTGGATTTCCCATGCACTTATAGTTAATGTTCTTATTCCTCTTCAAGGTTAAAATAATGGTGCTAGCATAAAAACACAAGTCGAGTACTACTATACTCCCTCCATCAAAAATAAGTGAATTTTTGAATGTTTTCACACAGATTAAGAAATTCACCTTTTAACATTAATGAGCAATAAAATTGACCATATTAACCTTTACTATCTCACATAAATACTCCTAACACATACTCCAACACTATTTACTCCAAGGATAATGTAGGAAAAAAATAATTAATTCATTCTTGAAATCTGAAAAAATCACTTATTTTGGACCACAAAAAAGGCCAAAAAATCACTTATTTTGGACAGGAGGGAGTAGTATTTATAACTTGCTCTAAACAAACGCCTTGCTTTTTAGAGTAGCTATCAACGACTATTAACTACGGATTCATTTCCTTGTCTCTTCATTTATAATTCCAAAATTAATTTTTAAGGCAAGCGAATATCAATATGAAATAAATACACCAAAACGACTCTAACTCTCTATGGAGTCTTTCGTACAATAAACATGAAGTCGAATTATAGTTTGAAGGTGGACATGCATCAAAGATGTTATCTTGTACTCTCTCCGTATTAAATTATAAGTCTTATATTTCTTTTAAGACCTACTCTATCATTGGATGCAACTAAACCAAAATAATTGAAAATACAAAAAATAAATAAAATGCAGACAGCTCTTAGGTCACCAAGGATTGCCGATCGGCTTGCAAACCAAACCGAGATTTATCTTTTTTATTTTTGGGGCTTGCTTTGATTCAAGGTTATCAAAAGTTTCAATAATACGTTATCCAAATGGTGGAAACAGAGTGTTTTGGAGTAAAGGAAGGCAATACTGGTGAAAAATGAAAGAAGAATATTTAGGGAGGTGTTTTAAGAAATACTTATTCGTACTTAACAAATAAATGCAAAATATGTTCTTGTATTTAATTTTTTATCACTTAATTATATATTCGTGTTTAATTTCTTCCTATTTTAGTTAAATTATTTTATTCAATATAAATACTAAATACAAATATCGGTATTTTACGTGAATATTGTAGCTCCTCTAGAGTCTAACCAAATTAATTGGAGAAATGACTTGTAGTTGTCGAAAAGAAGTAAATATTGCAGTCCTCGTGGGGAGAGGTGAGTAATAAATAGATGAGCCAGGAGTAGCTGGACAACCTGGATTCAAGCCGGTCAAAAAGGGGACACCACGATCGTGCATGAAAATGGACCCCAAACCCAAAGTCATTGTTACAACAATGCTATAGATAGTACAGTAGTAGTTTTGTTTAAGAAGGCATGCAACTTACTACTTGGCAGTTGGCACCGTCTCTATCTCTCAACCAATCATTAGGTCCAGCACCAGAGAGTTTGTTTGTAGTGTGTATATAGACTTTATCCCTACTTGAGAAAATAGAAAGATGATTTGCGATAGACCTTTGATTCAACAGAAAAAGAATAGGATAGACTATAATAAGTAACAAGTTTTCGGACTATCAAAAAGTTATAGATGGTAAGCTCTTTGATATAACTGCTTAAAATGCTCTCTATCAAAGTTGAGATAATTTTTTGTAATCTTATACTCCACTTTATAAATGTTAAGTTATTGGATTGAACTCAATTTACCTTTGTCACCCAGCACTGGACACTTTTTGAATTGTTGATCAATAGTTAAAAGAACCCCTTTATTGGAATTAACGGAACCACTGTTCGCTTTTAGTTTGTGTTTTACTCCCCAGGAAAAGTTTAGCTGAATTTCTGCTTACGTATATTGGACACTAGCTAGTAAGACTTAGCAATAAGAACTTGCATGCAATTGGACTTCTTCTACACGCTAGTTTTTTTTTTCTTTTTAATTCCTACACGCTAGTCATTTCCAAATCCAGGACGTGCTATTTTGCTTTGTTTAATTTAATTTGCCCGTACTCAAATTGGAAGGCATCTAGTTTATCACGGCATTCTACGCTCCTCGGCAATCCAAAGTGAATCCTAATATACACGGTTCAATTGAACGCACTACTTTCAACTTGAAATATGTATGTATATACATAATATAACATTATTATAAACTTGCTGAATGTATGTGGATGTTGGATTCGGCCATGTCTAAAGCCATATCTTAAAATTCCCCAGACATTTATTTATGTCGGATAAACACAATGTCATTGTCTAGGTATTCAAAAAAATTTAAGCTAAAATAATTGAAATAATGTGGTCCAAAAAGGTTTCAATTTAAATTTTTATATGGGTCTAAATATCATGACTTAATTACTATGAAAAGGTTACCTCTTAAGACTAATACTAAAGAGTTGTCGATATATATATATCCATTAGAACAAGTATTATCGTGTGTATAATAAAATTTTCCCTTTTAAAAATATACTAGCTGACATGAAGATGACAGAATCAATTACCAATAACTTAGACAATTTCAAAGCGTGTAGCTCTTTTACCTTTTTTTTATAGCACCAACAATCCAACATTATATGTGCAAATAATATGCCAGGTCTATGACAAATTGAAGCAAGAAAATTTTGTAGTATAAATTATGAGGTCGTTAGGATTTGGGAATTTTTTTTCTAAGTTGGCACGCTATAACGGATAACCAACAAATCACGCACGAATTAGGCGACAACATAATAGCAACTGCACTATATTTAACTCTGGCCTCTCGACTGAAAGTATCATAGGATGTCATTCGAAATATTCTTGATACTGCACAACCTGATTTTTTGAACCACAAGCTCCACTTGGCGATTTGCTATCAAGTCAAATGTACTTTGAATAGCGTATTTTGATTTAAACAATAAATAAAGTATTTAAATTTAAAAACAGCCTAACAGGTGTTTTTTTTATAAAAGAAAAAATCATGTTCTTGTAAAATTGCATTACACCTTAAATTCGATGTCAAAAAGGAGAAATCTACTTGATCAGACGTGAGTCTTGTACAACCCTACTTGATAATTTTGTTAACATCGACATGGTTCACTATAAGTAATGACACACATGTTTTAAAAACATCATAAATGCTTGCGACACCTTTTCTACTCAGGCTTTCCTCCTATTACAACCAATCACGGCTTTTAATCGAGCAACGAATAGTTTTTGAATTTGCATGAGACCAGAAAGTTGAAATTTTTTCCCTCTTCACACATGCAATTGCCATTACAATCAGTGGCGGACCCAAGATTTTGTGCAAACAGGTTTAGTCGGAGAAGTCCATAACTAACATAAGCGGTATAAGCTGTATAAGCGGGTTCAAAAATAATTTCTATACAAAATTTACGTTGCTTTTAGCCATAATTTATACATATACACAGTATTATTTTTTGACAAAGCGAGTTCAATTGAACCCACTTCTCACCACTTGGGTCCGCCCCCGATTACAATCCAGCTATTCTTCTCAAAAGTTGCAAACTAGAGCGCAATTAAGTAGCAGTAAATATAACAGGTCTCATATAACAGCAAGCCTGTACATGTGTCCTAGAGAATAACCATGGGATAACATGGTTAGTGTCATAATACGAGAATTATATAATATGGGATTATTTCTTATATATGTAATTTTATTGGTAGATGTTTGATTCATATGACTATATATTAAATACATGAAATATAATATAACATATGTGTGTGATTTTACATTAGATAAACTGGGATATATTTTTATTACGAAGTTTAATCTTAGGTTTCTTAGAAGATGTTGAGAGAAGAGTTTAGGAGAAGGTTAAACGTGTCATTTTGTTGTTTTTATTCCAATATTAATAATTTTAAAATTGTTATCCTGCACAGGGTGCATTATAAATATAATACTTTAATTGTGGTATAATAATTCTGACATTATTTATGTAACATATTTAATATCAAACACCAGCAGATCGACTGAAGAATTGTAAAAACAACATATAGAATTTTTCTTTGTATATTGAATGATTTCTGTTATACAATGTTGATGTATAAATACAAGGAGGAAAGGAATTTAGGGTAAAAACTACTCTACAACTGATTTATTCTCTACAACTGAAACTAGATAAATACAAAAAATAAATAAATAAAATTATATTACAGGTTGTATAAGTAGTGAATCCTGATCTTCTAGAAGAGTGGGCCTTTTAGCTGCGTCCAGTGATGAGCCCAATAGAAAATAAGCCTGTCCTCTTTACAGATCAAAAGAGAGTCCGGTCAAATAAGGGACAACATTTTCGAACAAACCAAACCTTAGCCACTCAAACATCAACTACTTCTGTTATCACTCTAAGAAATTAGGGTAACACCGCTCCCTCCTTCCCTTCCCCCCCCCCCCCCCCCCGCAAGTTGGAGGGGGAGGTACAAACACCGAAATTTCCCAATAGATTCTAATGAAGAGGACCTGTGAGATGTTTAGTAAAGAGATCCGCAAGCTGAGAATCAGATCGAACAAAGGAAAGAGAATTAAGCGCAGCAAGAAATTGTTGTCGCACAAAGTGATAGTCGATTTCGACATGTTTGGTTCGTTCATGGAATATAGGGTTTTTGGTGTTATGAAGTGCAACTTTACTATCGGAATGAAGAGGAACAAGCAAAAAGATTAAGGATTGACAGATCTTCAAAAGGGCGAACAAACAAAGTGAGTTCAGCTACAACTCGTCGCATAAAACAGTATTCCGCCTCCACAGAACTAAGTGAGATGGAGGTTTTCTTCTTTTACTTCCAAGAAATAGGAGAAGAACCCAGGTAGATGCAATTCTTTTTGTCCTTTGTTGTTCTTGAACCTTTTGAAATTTGCTCCCTGATTGTTAGCATTAAAAGAAGCTAAATCCCCGGGATAAGCAGGTGTAGCATGGATTCCTCTTTGTTTCTCATCTTGAATGATTAGAGAATAAGCCTTTCCTATAGAGGGTAAAGGGGAGGATAGGAGTATGTTTCTCCTTACACCAATGAATGTATCATTTTGACCCATTAGAAATTGCAGAAGCCTTTCATCTTGTTGTGCTTTCTGTGACTTTGCCTTAAATCTAGACTCAACACACTACAAAAAATTTAGCTTACAACCACACTTATTTTAGACTATGCCCAAGAAGTGTTACCAAAAATACTTATGGGAACGCTTTCAAATGGTGGTCTTTGAGTAGAGTCTTTGACTATGGTTTTTAAGGCAATACTTGAAAAACGTTGCTTTAAAATGAAAAGACTACACTTTTTAAGGGCGGCTAATAAAACGTTCCTTTAAAACGAAAATACTACACTTTTTAAGGGTGGATAATAATAAAATATATGGAAACCTTTATTATAGATTTTTAAGAGTGGTTTTATCGGCAGAACTAATGTTACCCTTTAGAAGCGTACCCTTAAAATTTTCCCAAAAATTTCCGAAAAATTAAAAAGGCAATAACATCGATACTCATCTATATACCTCTTTCCAAAAGTACTGGAAAAAATTAATCCATCCGCAATTCGTTCCCCCCTCCCATAGTTTCGTTTTACTCAGCTTTGCGTCGCTTATGTTACCGAACCAACACCGCTATTGTCCCCTGGGATGACTGGTATGGTGTGCTCTTTCTTTTGTTCGGCTGATTGACTACTATTTTCTCTCTTCCTCATTCATCTTTTTAATTTTTTTCTTTTGGTTTGATATTAATATACCTGAACAGCTAAACTTTGCTCAGGATCGACAATCTTTTGTTGTTCAAGATGAGCGGTTAAGATCTCTTCTGGCGATTACGCAGTCATGACCATGAGAGTTTTATGAAAAAATAATTTTTTCAGTTCAGTTGTTAAGAGAGACTCACACTGACTCCTAAAGCCTTAGACGTCAAAGAAATTAATGAATTTTTTGTTCTTGCTTATGATTCAGCGGGTAATAAATTATGATTATATTATCTTTACCAATACTGATCTAGAAATCACTAATTTTCTTCTAACATTGTATCATTATTTGATTAGAAATATTTCATGTGTGCATTTGTTAATTATGCTAATTAAGCATAGGGAAAAATTAATATAGTCGTAAATTCTTATTAAGCTGTAGGGATTATCTATGTTTAGCTTTGCTATCTTCTGAATGTTAAAATTTACATTTCAACACATGCTTCATTGTTACGAGAGGTCTTGTATATGGCAAACTTGGATACAGAGCTATTCATGTTAGTATTTTTGCATTGAATTCTAATAATATTTGATTCTTTTCTCTACCAAAATTAGTCAACACTCGGAAAGATCTGTGGTATACTTGAAGTTAGGTTTGGCATAAAATGAGTGTCATGACTAGGTAAGAGATTTTTATTCTCTTTATTTTCTTAGTATGCTCCTATACAACACCCTATTTTGGAAAGTTATTCTTAATTTTTACGATCTATTTGTTAAGTATAGTTATTGATTAAATGAATATCTATTTTCAAATCTAATATAACCATTGATTTTTAGGTTTTCAAATGTTTTGTCCTAAGGCTGGATGGATCTACCAAGAAATAGCAAAGAGTATACTGATGGTGTTCAATATTTCTTAGGGTTTGCTAATTCAAATGATGAATGTTTGTACATGTTTCGCTAGAAAAGTCGTTCAGTCAATTTCTTGATTAACAACTAAAGAAACTCTAGAAACTACCACAACAATAACAACATACCCAGTATTATCCTACATCATGGGGTTTGGGGAAGGTAGTGTGTACTAGGGCTGTTCAAAACCGAACCGTAATCGTTAACTGAACTGCAAAATTGGCTTATTGGTATCGAGTTATTGGGGTAGTGGTTGGTGAATGGATTTAGACCTTATAATTTATAGCTTAACGGTTTGGGAGCGAATTATTCAATTTTTTTTATCGCATAAACCGTTGACCTGTTAAGAAGTTTTATATTTATATTTTTACTCCTAGGTATATAAAGTAATATATAAAGTAATACTAAATAATAAAGTACTATTGAAACAAAATATAAGCACTACTATTTGATCAGTGATGAGTGTGAGTTGTGAACTTGTGATTACTTCTTGGACTTAGATTATATAAATGTAAGTGCTACTCATAGAACCCATCATGATCTAGCAAATTTAAGAACTACTCACAGAAAATAAATATAAGCACTAATGGAAAACTACTTACAAGCACCAAGCATATGTGATGCTTTACTCCAAATTTTCTCTTATCTCTAGTTCTCTACTTATTTTTTATTGTCTATTTGATTTAACCAATAAATCATCCGATAACCGTCTGATAATCGCTAATCTGATACCAATTCATCTGATATTTTATTGGATGGCTAGCAGATTACAATATTTATAAATCGATAATCGATAAGCCAAACCGTTAAGCATAAATATCCGCCCGATAAGCACCTCTAGTGTGTACACAGACCTTACCTCTATCTTGTGATGATAGATGGGCTGTTTACAATAGACTCTCTGCTCAGGAAAGCATAAGCACCACGTTAATAAAAATATAAATAAGAAGGGACATCATCAAAAATCCATATAAAAGCAGAATAAAGATAACAAGATAGTAAGGTGATCAACAACGAAAGAAAACAGCGGTTAGTCATAAAAATATACTACTAACAGAAAGCGAGACTGCGTGCCAATACCTCTCCCCACCTCTTCTTTGGACTTTCTCCACCTCTCCGTATGCCCTCTAACGGGGCGTCTGTTCTCCTCCTCCTCACATGGCTAAACCACCTAAGCTGCACTTCCCGCATCTTGTCCTTAATAGGGGCCAACCCATCTTGTCGCGAATAACCTTATTTCTAATCCTATCTGACCTGGTGTGCCCTCCCTTCCATCTCAACACCCTTATCTCTTCTATCTTCATCTTCTGGACATGAGTGATCTTGACTGGCCAACACTCAACCCCATATAGCATCGTCGGTCTGAACAACATTCTATAGAACTTACCTTTAAGTTTTGGTGGCACTTTCATGTCACACAAAACACCAGAAGCGAGTCTCCATTTCATCTATCCCGCCCCAATACGATGTGTGACATTTTCATCAATATCCCCACCCCCCTAAAAAATAGACCCAAGGTACTTAAAACTTCCTTTCCTAAGAATGACCTGTGAGTCCAGCCTCACCTCCCCTTTCCCTTCTTGAGTCTCACTATTGAACTTACACTCCAAGTATTCTATCTTGGTCCTATTCAACTTGAAACCTTTATACTCGAGGGTCTGCTTCCATACCTCTAGTTGTGCGTTCACACTGTCTCGCGTTTCGTCAATCAATACAATATTATTTGCAAATAGCATGCACCACGGCACATCCCCTTGGATGTGGCACGTTAGTATGTTCATTGTTAGGGCAAAAAAAAGGGCTGAGTGCCAACCCCTGATGCAACCCCATCATAACTAAAAAATGGTCCGAGTCCCCACCCCACCCACCATTTTTACTCGGATCTTTACTCCATCATACATGTCCTTAATCATCCTAAAGAAGGCAACAAGTACACCTCCAGCCTCCAAACATCTCTACAAAACGTCCATCGGAACTTTATCGTACGCCTTTTTCTAAGTCGATGAACACCATATGAAAGTCCTTCTCCCCCCTATACTGCTCCATCAATCTCATAACAAGGTGAATGACTTTTATAATCGAATGCCCCAGCATAAATCTGAATTGATTCTCGTAAATAGGCATATCCCTCCTTACCCTTAGCTCTACCACTCTCTCCCAGACTTTTATAGTATGGCTAAGCAGCTTGATACCCCGATTGGTATTGCAATTTTGGATATCACCCTTGTTCTTGTATGTAGAAACCATTGCTCCATATCCACTCTTCGGGCATTTTCTTCATTCTAAAAATGACATTTAATAACCTAGTGAGCCAGTCCAAGCTTGCCTTGCCCGCACTCTTCCAAAATACTACTGGGATTTCATCTGGCTCGGTCACTTTTCCCCTACTCATATTACACATAGCCCCCCTCCACTTTATCAACTCTAATCTTCCTACAATACCCAAAGTCATAACGACTCCCAGAGAGTTCCAAATCATCCAGTACAATACTCATGTTCCCCTCCTCGTTCAAGAGACTATGGAAGTAGGTTTTCCATCTCCAATGGATAAGCCCCTCATCCAACAAAACTCTACCTTCTTCGTCCTTGATGTACTTTACTTGGTCTAAGTCACGAGAATTCCTTTCTCGCACCTTGTCTAACCTGAATAACCTCTTATCCCCACCTCGGCCCTAGAGTTCCTCATACAAATAACTAAAAGTTGCAGTCTTGGCTACCGTAACTGCTATCGTTGCCTCTCTCTTAGCCAACTTATATTGCTGCCTATTCGTCCTCTTCTCCTCATCGTCTACACTTTTCACTAGCTTCAGATACGTTGCTTTCTTGGTTTTCACTTTTCCTTGCACCTCTCCATTCCACCACCAATCTCCTTTGTGACCACCAAAGTAACCCTTTGAGACCCCTAGTACCTTTCTCGCAGCTTCTCTAATGCACTGTGCAGTCGTGGTTCACAAAGCGCTTGCATCCCCACTACTCTGGGATATATTAAATAAAGATTCAACATAAAGATGCAAACATGTAGATAACAATCTAAACAAGTAGGCAACAAAGCTATCACTAGTTGTCACACCCCTTTATTACAACCTCACTAAACCCTCTTAAAATAATAAAAGTGATTTTGAAGCTCAAAAAGGGTTTCAATTATGAAAAGTGACAAAATTGTGTTCAAATGTTTTTTTCAGAGTCGCCACCTGACATTGGTTTCGACGTGCCAGGTCACCATTTTAAAAAAATGACTTTTCCTTTTAAAACACTTTGGACTCCAAAACTAAGTCTGCACCGGAGATTTGGGTAAGGGGATTCATTTGACTCAGGGAGAAGGTGTTAGGCACTCCCCAAGCCCCGTAAAATTCATGGTTGCGTACATGATCTAGTTGGCTTTTAAAAAAATTCAAATTGAGGTAAAATCATATAAAAGGAAAATAAACACAAAAGAGGCTCGAGATCGTCCCCACCTAAATGAAAGAAAATTAAAAGAAGGAAAATTAAAATTAAAGTTCTAAATTATCTTACGCTACTTATTCTACGATGTTCGCCATGACCTCCAATTACAGAATACTACGGGGCATTCCCCAGAATAAAATATGTATAAATCCTTCGGGGCATTCCCCGGATAAATTTTACTCAAGGAACGACCTCTCGCCTCAAAACTAACAAAAATCCTAAATTTTGCCTACCCAGGTGATGACGGCCTAAACATACTTCTAGAGGGAAAAGTAATATAAGTAAAAATAAATACAAACTAAAAAGAAATAAAATTTGATTCCATGCTCTCTCCCTTTTTTTTCATTATTTTATGTATTTAGACCAAATCCGATCCTAAAGCATATAAAAATATTTAATTATCTGATGGATTGGACTTCCTCATCCCCACGATCCCACTCAAACAATTCATTTTGTACACCAAAGCAATTAAAAAAACGAAAACACGGACAAGCATGCATTCAAATCACTTAGAAGAAAATGGGTGCTAAGAAAGAAAATAAAATGACAGTAGTACTTGAAGATACCATGAAAGCTATTAAAGATTCCACACCCTCCCCAATTGGCTCATTAACCTCCTAACCTTCATCATGTCAAATATCCTACTCTAAACCCAAAATTAGACTAGTTCATCCCTAAAGTCAATATAATGACCAAGCTAGGTATCCCCATCCAAGAAGACATTTTATAGATAGCCAAAATTCAGATTAACACGAGGATCTCGCCTAAGCTTTTAATCAAATTTAGCCACTTAAAACCTGTTAAAAAAAGTTACATAAACTAAATGATAATCTAGTCCTCCTTAATGAAACAGAGAAAATTTTAATAAAGAACTAAAATAATAGGTAATCGAACAAAGATTCAATAGGTGGCATCAAGAGAAACAAATCTGAAAATTAGATAACAAATAGAGTTAGAGTCGGACCTTGATATAGCTGAAAATTAATTATTTCACTGCTTTGAACTCAAAAATGTAAAGAACTGCGAGCCA